TATATATATATATATATATATATATATATATATATATATATATATATATATATATATATATATATATAAAAGATTATTTATATTTATATATATATTTATAAAAAGGCGATATCGGTAAAAAAGGCGATGCGACGTCGCCTTATAAAAATATTTATATATAAATATATATATATATATATATATATCTCGTTCCATTCGGTAACAGGCAATCCGTGTACCGGTCAACTGATGGACCAGTACGTACCGCCCGTACCAGGCGGTATTACTCAAAATTGCATACCTTGATGATAACCATAAAAACTAATCATTGATCATGGTTGGAAAAATAGTTCACTGAATCCAAATCATATCAAAATTGTCTTTAGAGATTGAATCAAATAAAAAATAGAAACTTGTTAACTTTCTCTTTCTTTTACAAACTAGCCCTTATTAGTTATTAAGAAAATTTGTCTTTAGAACAAGAATTATAATTTTAGTCCATACCGGTGTACCAAGCCCTACTCGGTATGGTACCGAGGCGTATCGATGGTTTGTCGGGGTGTATCGATAGTACACCCAAAATCATCAAAAAGAACCTCCGAAAAAACATGAAAAATAGAAAAAAGTTAGATTAGAGTTTTTAAGTTAGAAATAAATATAAATTTAGTATAATTTTAGCAAAAAAATGTAAATTGACCCAATATCAATCAAATTTTGATTAAATCATTAGTAAAATCACTAATTACAACATTAAAAAAGTTAATTAAAACCTAATTAAACCTATTATACCATCACAAGCATATGATTCAATCCTTAATATGCATGAAATATAAAGATTTGATCTATTAAGTGTCCAATTTCGAAAAAATCAATATTAAACACCCTAATCACAAATAACATATTAGACATTAAGTTATACACCAATATTAAAATCAATATTAAACTTAATTACTTCCTAATTAATACTATTCTATCATCAAACAACATATTAGACATTAAGTCATACACTAGATACAATAGGCTTAATCATCTTATAAATCAATAAAAATCTAGAAAAAGAATATATATATCTTTTGATTAGAGTGTTCTTCCTCTTAATCCTCCCAAATTAGCCTCTTAAATTTGATCCAACTCACAAATCATAGTTTTGTTGAGTTTAGGAGATTGAAAATGTGAGAATAAGAGAAAGATGTGAGTGAAAAAGAGTTTGAGAAAATTTAAGAGATTGAGAAAGTGAAATAAGTTGAACGATGTGGAAGGAAAGGGTTTAAAAACCCTTTTCTATGTCTCAAACGCTCAAATTGATCGTTTAAATAAGACAATCTCAATCGTTGATCGGTAATGGTCAAAATCCAATCATTACTGACCAGTACAGGTCGGTAACGATCGGATTTTGATTATTACCACTTGGTACGACCAAGGTTCTGAATATCGTATCGTACTAGTATACCGATCAACTGTCGGTACAATACGTATCGAGCTATACTAAGCATACCAACATACGGTATGGTATACCGATGTACCACTCATATTGGTCCTCTATCAAACAGGTACATATCACCCGTATCGAGTGATACAATATGTTATTGCAAACCATGGTACAAACCTCATATTGCTCGATACGAGGTCAAGTGGCCAGTATTGCCCGGTAGAGAATGGTCCACGTACTAGTATCGTATTGGACCGGTATGTACCGCTCAGTCATCGGTATAGCAAACCTTACTTTAGAGCAACTTTTTCCAACTTGCTGCTTACCCATCAAACCTGCAGCCTTATAATTGGACATTAATTTGGGTCCAGCATGGGACCTTCATGTAAGATACTCTTGTGAATTGAAAAGTAAGCCTCCACTTGTAGAAAAATCATCATTGGTTATTTTAGATTGCTACTTTGAAACTCCAAGTTATAGGGTTTATAACTCACGAATCCTAAAGTCCTTCCCCTTTTGCTTCTCCCACCCCTCTCCCTATCTCTGTCGGGCACAGGTACCCATGTTGTAAATGATGACAATGGTAATGGCCAATATTTATAATATTGTCAATATAGGTTGGTTTGGGTTAGCCTTTACTGGTCCAACAACAATTTGGGAGACGGAATGGACAATTTCATTCAGTTCAATCTGGTATTAGTTGTACCATCCATTAAGCTTATGATACCAGGCTTACTGGGTGGGTAAATGGTCTGGTATTATTTTTTTTTTTAATAATGACAATTGTCACCACATCTCTCTTTCTTTTTCTCTCCAGTCTAATATGAGTTGTACCATCCAATAAGTTTATCATACTAGTATTAGCGGGTGAGGAAAAGATATTAGTACCATTTTGTCCTATTTTATAATATCAATTGTCACCATCTTTTTCTTCCTCTCAATCTTCTGCTCCCTATTGCATTGCTACTACCACCATCTCCTCTAACCAATACTCTTCACAGCCTCCTCTTCCTCCTCAGTCCTGTCCTCCGCCTCTTCCTCATCCTCCTTTGTCTTCTTCACCTCCTCCATCCACCAGACTTGTATTAGTTAGTACAGGGATTGCATTAACACTATTTTCCCAATCATACTGGTACCACACTGGTCTGCACAAGGACTGATATCAGTATAAATTGAATTCTGAAAGCTCAGTGATGGAGACAATATTGACAAAGGATGATGACATGGTGATAGATCGGCTCTATAGTTTAGGGTTTATTTAATTTCTCCCACTATCCTTCCTCATCATCTTCTTCTTTGGGCAGAGTCCAGCCATGTCTGATTGGTTTTTGTCAACTCACCAAGAAACCAACTAATTCCTCCTAGGATAATTGATCTTGGTGAAGTGTGGATGATTTAGTTGATTTGATTGATTTTTATCATTTTTGCTGGTGACTTGATGCTCTATCCATGAAATTGGGGCATCTCATTCGGGAGAGGCTGGTCTCGATCCAAACCAGTCGATTTCAATCTAAAGGACAATAAGGTACCAAATTAAAACATATATCGGATTAGGATCATGAGCTGTATCTAAATAATGTATGTATATAGAAAGGAGTTCTTGGGTGGCATGAGTGGAATGCTCCTCGGTGCTCATTCCGTCCATCTGACCTTGAGTAGTATTCAATAGCAATATAAGATGAGTCATCTTTGCCAGCATCATCCATCGATGCACTGCTATTTATATTTTTACTATCTCCACAAACCTTACAAAACATGGACTATGAGAGAGAAGATTTCTTATCACTCAACCAAACCTGTTGTTCATTAATTGTGTTCAATGGATCAGTCAACTAAGCTCGACCCCTTTCCTTGCTATGGTAGTCAAATGTTTCACTCTGCAGTGTCCTGCCATGGCCTTTGGCAGATTGGTTGGCTGAAGTCTTGTCACACCCTGGCATCAGATGATGCCCTTCCTGTGATCACCTTTTATTCATTTTTTGTATTGCCTCGGTGATGAGATGAGATGAGATGGATGTGAGGTGTCTTGCCTAGTCCATTTGATGACCCAGATTGAGCATCAGATTAAAATTATCATTATAGAACTAGAAGTCAAAGAGCGGATTAATCTCGGGCTCTATTTCCTTTTCTATGTCAGCATATTAGTCTCAGATGCATGTTATAATGCAAGTGCATTAACTTCTCCAAGTGTCTGTATGAGAGCCAGTTAGTGAACTTATATGAAAGTGTATTTCAGCCAATTATGTTCGCAATCGCTGAATAAATGTAACTCTTCTTAGATTAAGTGTCCAGCCTCTAAATTGTGACCACCTCTCAACTGCAGTTAACACTCATATTAGACAAACAAATTGTTCAAGGTAAATATAATTTAAGTTGTAGGTGTCAATTATATTACCAAGATCCATCTGATATCAACACGATATATCACTCATCTAAATATAATGCATAATGTATTTTGCATAATATATGATATGATATTAAATATAAAAATTAAGATTCAAAGGCCCTTGGGATGGACAATGCTGTCCATATGACCAATTGTATAGCCGAGCGCTTGTCTAGTTTCATTATTAGTACCAAGCATTGAATGGGCTAGAAGATTGCTTGCAGCCTCAACAGCCTTCATCCTTTGGCCATCAGAGGAGACAACAGCATGGGGAAACAAGGTATGAGAGTGAGAGGAAATAAAAGAGATGTTGTGTAAAGAACACAGATCGAATTGACAAGCAGAAAACAGTGTATAGTGTGGAGTGGAAACCATTTTATTTGAGGGAAAAATGTAGGACACAGTAGATGAGTGAAGCATCTACGCTTTTATAAGGAATTAGCAGTAATTATGTTAAATGAAGAAGTAATTTTGTATTAGTAAATACTAAATAGTAGCTACATAACATTTAAAATTGATATACCATAATATAATATAAACCATATCTAGGAATCGTATGGGGTTGTCAGATTGAGTCAATGTAGATTCGCTTCATTTCAGTTATTAATTGGATAAGATTGGTCATACATATTTGGGTCATTGCATAAAACATTTGGATTCGAATCCATTTCTAACCAGATTTGACACTAGATCAGACTGGATCAGGTTTTATCAATTGACAGCCCTTCTATGTGATTGTCTCAGTGCATAAATTTTTGGTTCATAATGACTACAACATATCACTATAATTTCCTGTAATTAATTTCCGGTGTTGGAAAGACAATAAGAGATCTAATGACCTGTCAGATAACATAGTTTTCAATTATAGGGTTCGCATGACTAATGAATGCAATAATTATAAGCAATATGGCTAGAAAGATATGCAACCAATAACCAACATACCACTGTGCGAGTTACATGAATTTAGAAAATTATGACATATATGTGAATCTTCCTTGACAACAAACTATCCAGAAGTGCATTGAATTTCCAAATTATGTTGTTTATAATTTTCAACAGTCATTTTGAGACTCAGCAAATTGTATTTTCATTTCTTGGATATAATAATGAATTATTACATAGGTTAAAGGTTTCGTTTAGTTACAAATAAAGAAAAGAAATCATCAAACTTTGGCTTTAATTATACACTGCTCTATATAAGCTGATATGCATCTTTTTAAAGCTCTAATAAATTTCGTTGTTATTCTCTAAGGGATATTGAGGTAAGTGATGGCTGATATACTTTTGCCCAATCATCTACATGTCTTGCTGCAAGGAAAAAAAATATTAAACTAAACTATTATCTAGTCATATTTGGAAATTGATATATAATTGGATATGACATGGCAGGAATCTTTTTATTATGATTTGACAGAAGAGGAGTTGAATTGTGTACATGAATATAACTTTGATCATCCAGGTAAATTGATATTCCTTAAGAATTCATTAAAGATTATGGTATTCACATTTAAATCTTGACTCTTGATTAGTAAGCTCATTGATTGCTAACAAATGGATTAGATTTGCACACTTGTGTTGATATTGGTTGCTTGTTCAAGTTCTTATCAATCAAGCTGTAGTTCCATGTTTTGGTTCATATTAGTGTAATGAAAAAGAACCAAGTTCTTATCAATCAAGCTGTAGTTCCAAGTTCTTATCTCCTGATAAAATGAAAAAGAACCTGCTTAAGTGTCTCTAGTAGATATAGGTGCAGAGGTTATTAATTTAACTATGGTCTTTGATGTCTAAAAGTCGGTGATTGATAATTACCACATAATTCCCTGCATTAGAATGCCATAAGAAAACAAATTCTATCAAAACAGTTGAAACATCCACTGTAGTTCCCAATTTTGTAGCTTTAGCTTAAAAACCAGCTACACGATTGACAAAATACTTGCTTTTGATCAACAAGTTTGTCATTACAATGCAGCTAGAGACCTTTTCTTGATTCATCATATTTTCCAAAATATGGAAGAATAGTTTTGCATTTCTTGAACTAATAGAACATCGACATGAATAATTCCAACAAATTCTTGTGTGCCTTTTCTGCCTTTTTATCTTGGTCATCCATTTTTCACCATTTATCTAGTTCAGAAGATTGCTTCTTCATTCTAAATACAAATTTTAACTAATATTTGTTCATTGCAACTGATTCATATTTTGGTGCTTCCCTTTTTATCTTCTTAAAATAAAGCTTGAAACAATCAATCTCGAATCTTGAGAATTTTTTTAGTAATTATGCTCTCCTTTATTTAAATTTGCTTGCATATTGCTTTCTTCAAAGCTATGACACAAACCTTGGAAACCAAAGGTTATAAATTAAATAGAACTAAGACTAAATGTATGAGATGCAATTTTAGTAATACTAGGAGAAGATATGAGAATATAATTAAATTGGATGGATAAGAAGTTTAAATAGTAGAAGTCTTAGGTATCTTAGGTTGATTATTTAAAAAGATAGAGAGATTGATGAAAATATTATTCAGAAAGAAAATTTTGTATGGTTAGAGTTGAGAGGGGATTAGGTTTTTTGTGTAATCACTAATTACCTTTTAGATTATAAGAAAAATTTTGAAAAACCTTATATACCTAAGTGTTGGGTGGTTAAAAACCATACAACAACAACAAGAACAACAAAGTCATAAGTTTCAATTATTTAGGGTCGGCTATATTGATCTTTTGTTGCCATTGAGATTTGTAAAAAGGTTTATGTTTAGTTAAGTTTAGAGTAAGTTATGTCATGCCGCGCTATACCGCTCGATACAGGCAGTATATACTAGTCCAATAGGGGATTAATACGCAGACCATCCTTTACCAGGTGGTCTATGTCATATGATCCTGTATCACCAAATATGGGGTTTGTACTGGTCCAAATGATTGAAATCCGATCGTTATCGACTTGTACCGGTTGGTAACGATCAAATCTCACTCACATATTTCTCTTATTTTCTCATTTGCACTGCCTTAAACTCCACAAAGTTATGATTTGTAGATTGGATCAAGCTTAGGAGGCTATAATTAGGGAGGATTAACACCTAGGTTAAAGGAAGAATTCTCTAATCAAAGAAATGTATTTTTTTCTCGATTTTTGATATTTTTTAGATGATTAAGCCTATTATATGTTCTCTAATCAAAGATATATTTTTTAGAGCTATTTTTCTCTATTTCCTATCTCGTCAACATATTCCATCGTGTCAACACATGGTACATCAGTACGAGGTGGTATATACCGTACCATTGGTCAATCGGTACATCGGTTTCGACCAGTAAGACGAACTTTGATTCAGAATACTTAAATCTTTATTTATAGTTTATATTAAAGTCTTTGTAGGTCTTTCCCTACCTCTCCTTATACCATTAACATTAATCATTTCATCTCTTCTGATTATTGCATTTGGAGGTCTCCTAGGCAGATGCTTATACCATCTTAAATAATTTTCTCTCATCTTATCCTCTATCGAAATGATACATAGTTGTTCACGAATAAAAGTATTTATTTTCTATCTTTCTTAGTAACTTCACACATCCATCTCAACATTCTCATCTAGGCAATAAAACTTTTTGTATATGTTGTTTTTTAACTGCCCAACACTCAGATTCATAAAACATTGTTGGTCTCACAATTGTGTTATAAAATTTTTCTTTTAATCTAAAAGATATCCGATGATCACATAAGACTTCTGATGCCTCACGCCATTGTAACTATACTATTTTTACTTTATGTATAATATTTTCATTAATCTCTCTGTCTTATCGAATAATTGATCCAAGATATTTAAAGCTTTTAATTAAAGGAATATCTTGTCCATCTAACTTAATTATATTATCTTGTTTATTCTTAGAATTATCAAAATTGCACCTCATATATTCAGTTTTAGTCCTACTTAATCTAAAACCTTTAATTTCTAAGGATTACCTCCATTAGTTCTACTTAAACTCTCATTAACTAAGACAATATCATCAGCAAATAACATATACTAGAGGATATATCATGTAAGTGACTAATAAGTTCATCTATTATCAATGTGAAAAAGGTAGAGACTTAATGCTTAATATAATCATATACTAATAGGAAACTTATTAGACACACTCTCTATAGTTCTAACACTATAACTACATTATCATACATATCTTTAATAACATCAATATAATTAGTAGATAAATCTTTCTTTTCTAAAATCTACCATAATAAATCTCTAATGATCCTAGCTTTCTCTAAGTTAATAAAAAACATATGCAAATATTTTCTTTTCTCCCTATACTTTTTCATTAATTATCTTAATAAATAAATAGTTTTTATGGTTGATCTTTCATGCATAAAACCAAATTAATTTTCAGAGATATTTGTTTCAAATCTTATCCTACTTTCGATAATCTTTTCTAAAGTTTTATAGTATGGTTTATTATTTTAATTCTTCTATAATTTGAACCAAGGTAGGCAATACCAAATGATACCGCCCGGTATGGGCGGTATGTACCGGTCCTACAGCATATCGGTACGCGGACTGCCCGCTACCGGACGGAACAAAAATAATAATAAAATTATATATATATATATATATATATATATATATATATATATATATATATATATATATATATATATATATATATATATATATATATATAT